TTTCGTTTTCAATTATAGGTTGGGTAGACAAGTAACCACCTCGTCGCTTGCTCGGTCTATCACGAGGAATTTGTGGTCGAGGCAACTCAATTGTTGGTGGAGCAGGCTGAGGGTTCACATTAAAACGTTGTTCTCTAAGTGCAAGTAAAATGTTACGCTAGTCGCGAGCAACCCTATCTCGATAATCAACACAACTAGGGCATGTTAACGAGAATTAATTGAAAGCCTGTATAGCTCCTCTGCTATGTTAGACTGAAAAAATAATAAGATATAAGATAATAAAACTTTTTGTGTAAAAGAAAATAATATTAATGGTGAAAAAATGAAAAACTTAACGCACGACCTCTATCGCCACTGATACGTTGAATCCATCGTCTTGTATGTCTCCAATACCATTGCATGTATTGAGATGTTTGATCAAGTTCATCAAATGCTATAGGAGCATTAACAATTACATGTGGCCATCTATCCCATGCTTGAATGAAGTCTGCGTATTTGTCAATCCAATTTGTAGTTGTTCTGCCTCGTAATTGGATCGTGTGGTAATTTATCAAATGAACAGGCATGGAAGGAATTGGTTGCTGACGACCAAATTGCGGTAGTACACGGTCAGAATGATGTCATTCTATAATATTAAAACATATTAAAAGAACTTAAGCACGCCAAATTTCGGGTGTTGTCAAGCAATACTCAGGAATCAATTGGTGCATATAAGGAGATTCATATGATTATAAAATCATATAGTTATAAGATCATAAAAAGCAGAAGGAATCTCACCAATATTTATAAACTTCTCTTTTAACCAATTTGTTCCATGTGCTTTGTGAAGATTTGAAGCCACGTGTCGTAGACAAAAAACATGATGTCCATGTGGTGGTTGCCATCCAACTTGGGGTTGAGCAACAGCAGCCAAAATTAAACGATGTCTATCTGAAATTAAGCAAATTCCTATTCTATCTTTTACAACACATTGGTGTACAAGGTGTAAGAACCATGCCCAAACAAATCTTGTTTCCCCTTCAACTATAGCAAATGCAAGTGGCACAACATTTCGATCGTCATCTTGTGATATTGCCATAAGCAATGTGCCCTTGTATTTTCCATATAAGGATGTTCCATCAACTTGTATAATGGGCTTTAAATATGGAAATGCATCTATGCATGGCTTGAATGTCCAAAAAACATGATGAAATATTTCAATCGGTTGACCGTTTGTATTGACTTGAGAGCATTGTTTGTTTGAAAAATATATGCATGACCCAAGCATGAAGTGTTGAACTGCAGCTAACCATCTTGGGAGCAAAGAATATGAGGTCTCCCAATTTCTAAAGGCAATCGCAATTGCTAATTGTTTTGCCTTCCATGCTTTCCTATATGACACAGTATAACCAAACATTGATTGCATCCTCTCAATAATTTGTGACACTTTCACATTTAGTTTGTCAGTTACCATTGCCACAATGCAGGATGATATAACATCTGCGTCCAACTTTGGATGGTCTTGAGTTAATGACGTGCTCAAGCATACGTGAAGCCCCCCATATTTTGTAATTTGCCAATACTTCTTGCTTTCCTTTTTGCAAGCCCTCACTCTCCAATTGCAATTTTCTCCATAATTAACACAACGATATTCTTCATACTTTTTACAAGAATAATAGACCTTAAATGTATGATGAACACGAACAAAATATAGCTTGACTGCACGTCTTAAAACTTGGATATTGCTAAATATTTTCCCAACATTTAACTCTTCATTATCACTAACATGCATAATATCTTCTAATTCACCAAATTCAAGAGTTGTAACTGACTCAACATGAATTTGTGACAAGGAAGCATTTGCAACCTGATTTTGCTCATTCATCTCGTCACATTCGTTGTCATTGTCACCATTACCATCCCCATTACCAGCATTTAAATAAGAATCATATTCTTCCTCATCCTATGATTCATCCATGATATCTTCTACGTGAGGAAGAGAACATGATAATATAATGTTCCCACCATCTATGGGGAGTTCAAATGGTTAGAAACTTTCCATGTGATCACTAAACATAGATTCTTGTTCTATCATGTTCACCCTATTACTTGATGGGGGCATATTTTTGACATAATCACCTATGGGTTGTGACTCAACATGGCCATTATCTGGTAAATCACATATGTTAGCATACAACTGTGCACATGTTAATTGAGTTGAAAATCTTCTAATCACTTGCCACATTTGTTTTATATCTGTATCATCTTCAAAATTGCATGCTTGGTATTGTGGTGGATTTATGCATGTAGGATACCTATATACTAAATTTATCACGTTTTGATGGGGAGGAAGTTGCAACTTTTGTCCAATAACTTGCTTCAATTTGCCCAAGGTAATGTTTTCATCAACTTTGATAATTTTCACATTATCAGATTCAAATGTTACACCGGCTAGGCCATTAAAAATTCGTCCATTTGCGAATACACACACGAACTCCTTTCTATGATCCATTCTACTTCCTAATCATTTCATTATAATCATTAGTCAAGTAAGATTAAGTTATACAAATAAATTAACTCCACTATACCATTACTTTTTTGTAAAATCAATATTTATTATTAGCTCAGAATATCCTATATAACCAAACACGTAATGAAATCCATATCTAAGGGGGGGAAAATATATAATGAAAACTGCATAATTCCAAATTAGAAACTACTATAAAAGATGTGTTATTGCTATTATTGTCAAAATCTGTTAAAGTATAGTAAACAAACTTGATTACAAATTTAGTAATTTTCAGAACTTTTTAATCATTTTTTGTAAATTATTTATTTGCAATTAAAATAAATAAATAAGTTTAAGAAATAGAGATTTTTTTCCTTTTGTTTCTTTTTCTATTTGTATAATTTTATTTACATCAAGTATTAATTAATATATTATTGCACTATATAAAATACATTAAACATATATTTTTTTAATATTAAAATTCTTTCTTGTAATATTATTTTAATGATAACATATCATAAAGATTTTTTTTCATTTTACACACATATATATTATTTATACCTTATAATACCTATTTATTATTTCATTATTTTTGTAAAATTTAATTTAATAAATATTAATTTATTGCATGAAAATTAAACATTTAATTGGACTAAAATCTTTTAGACCATTGGGTTGGAATGAAGGGTTCAAAAATAAAGATTTTTTCTCTAGTTTATCACATTCATTAAAAATTATTTACTTTGATTTCTTTTAAATTGTAAAAATATATTTCAAATTCCTAGTTTTTATTTATCATAGAATTTAAATGATATAAGTTTAAAAGATTTTATAAGTTATTTCAATTTATAATTCAAAATTTTAAACACTTCTTTATTACAAAGATTTATAAACATACTTAGTTAAATATATATATTTATTATAAAAAATTAGTTAAAATTTTAATCAAATCTTTTATGTTTGCCTTAACTGATTGAAATTAATGTAACTATAAAAATATAATTTAAGACTTTATTAGAATCAGAAGTAAAATAGTAAATAAATTTTATTTTAATATAAATTTCAGTTAAAAATAATATTTTTAGAATCTTTTTAGAATACTCCTATTAACAGTGTTAACTAATTGGACTAAATGTATGCTTTTAAAATAGAGGAAAGATTTATGTAATTGATGCAAATTAGAAGAATAGTCAGAGTATTTTATTCTTGATTCAAAACACTCATATCATGACATGTCATCATCAATTAAAAAATACAACATAACAAATAGCATGGAAAAGGCAAAATGAAAAAGAGAAATTATGAGTGCTCTTCATTCATTTCAATTTTACTTATACCTTATTTTTACCTAAAAAATATATGAAAGCAATAGTTCATTAGAAGTGGGCAGAAGACTTTTTTTTTAATTTACCAACTTAATATATACCACATATTTGATATTTAGGACGTATATATAATTATTTTTCAATTTTATCTTATCAAATTTAAACTTCTAGAGAAGTATACTTTCATAACAAAAAATAATAATTATATACCAAGAAAAAATGAAGCTTATATCAAAATCTTAACATCTTAAAACAATATAACAAATGATAGTTTTACCGTTAAAATAAGAGGCACCTAACTTAGAAAGAGTACAAATATTCCAAATTGTTGAACCCATCACTCACTTCTTGAAAATTAGAACAATGAAATATTAACTCATCAAAGATAGTATGGATGAAAAATCAAATTGTATATCACAACTGTAAATTTTTTAAAAGAAAAAATAGAAGAGAAATAACATACCCACAGCAGCAGTAAAAGAGCTTGTCTTGTTTGGAAACAAGAGTGAAAAAATAATAGTACAAGAGAATAATGAAAATGAAACAACAAGTGAGAAGAAGAAGAAAAGAGAACTCGGCGAAGAAGAAGAAGAAGTGAAGAGCAATGAAGCATAAAACGTGAAGAGAAGGAATTCACATAAAATATATATAAAACCATAGATGTAGCCTCACAGGATTCTCGCATGCTACGTCAAAGATGTTTATAGAGCACGCATAATTGGTTGGTCTTGCACGCATTATTGGTAGAAATTCAGACACATAATTGGTTGGTTTTGCATGCATAATTAGCAAAAGTTCAGACGCATAATTGGTTGGTTTTGCATGCATAATTGGCATAAATTCAGACGCATGGTTTTGCACGCATAATTGGTAGCGATTCAGACGCATAGAGTGAATAGGAAAAAGTGAAATCATTCTTGGTGTAAATGATTTCTGAAATCGTTCACGCTAAGAACGACTTGTGTGTAATTTGAAAATCGTTCTTCCCAAGAATAATTTTAAATATAGCATATTGATAAATAGTTTTAAAAGTGCAATATTTTAGTAAAAAGTTTTACTGTTCATCGTATTTCAGTAAAAAAGCCATTCTATATAAAAGAATGTCAATAATACTAATTAATTCATTAACGGTCATTTCGCTTTCTTCCCCAATTCCCCCCCGTCCAAAACCCCAGCCTATAAATTCTGATAAACCTGAGCTAGCTGCCCCAAAGTTGAAGCCTCCAAAGGCAATGGCCATCAAACTCTGAGATTTGACACACACAAGAAGCAAAAATGTCGGCGTCAAAATTTGCGCTGCACGGAATCGGAACCGCGCTCTTCCGTGCCCCTCGAACATTCTCTGCGAATCCTCCCCCCCTTCTCTTCCGTAAACCTACTCCTCTGAAGACGCTGCGGCTCCAACGGTGCAGTTACTCTGCTGCGGTTGATACAGTCACTGCCGACGACAACAACGAAACCTTGTCCTGCGTTGACCAACCCCTTCATCATCCGTGGCCCGAATGGGTGTCCTTTGTTGACCGCTTGAAGATAAAAGGTTATCTGACTGAATCTTCTGCTTCTTCTTCAGTTGAGGGTGGAGATGAATTTGACGCTTCCACTGGGGGTGCTGGCGTCGCGAACTCAAGTGATAGTGTTTACAGGAACATGAATCTTGTCAAGAATGGCTGTCTAAGCTTCGCGCGTGACCGCTATGATGTCTTCAAGTGGGTTTTTTCGACTATTGTCGTAATTATTCGACGTTTGTATTCTCTGTATGGGTGCTTTGGAATGTGCAGAGGCAATAAAGTTTCTAGAGAGTTAAAGCGATTTGGATGGTTAAACTCCGAAAAGATGACATTTATTCTGATGAACTGATAAGAATGCTTTGTTTATTCATACTTGGAAACTTGGAGGCCTAGATGATAATAGCAATTGCCAGCTTGGTTAAATAGAGATGATACGAAAAAATAATGTTCAATTTGTGAGCTCAAGCAGATTATGTTAGAAGGCAGGATAGTTTTCATATAGTAATTTACACTGTTTAGTGTCTTTAGTGCCTGTCAAATCTCATAAACAGCTCAAGTATTAATATATGCTCATTGAGTCTTTGACTTATGTTTCATCTTATGCAGATCACTTTCAGAGGAAGATATTCAAACAGTGGTGAAAGCTGGTTGTCCTAATATTCTCCGGAAGGTTGTTAATTCAGCTAAAAGATTAAGAGCTCACGTCGGATTAGACGAAGGGGATGTATGTTAGTTCCTTCTTTTCATTAATATTCATGCATTAAAGTTATCACACAGAATAATTCTAAATACTATTCTTCTCATAAATGTATCATGTATGAGGATTCAGTTTTTCTCTTAAAGTTCGAGAAGTCATTCCATGGCTGTGTGTCTCAGGCAAGCTTGCTTCTATCCAGGTTTGTAGCACCTGCAACCTACGAGGCTCCTGTGATAGAGCTTATGTGATTCTAAAAGGGCCTGAAGCAGCGGGTCGAACTGTAGATATAGTGCGTATACTTTTGCACCATGCATTGGATCATCTGGTTATTTCTGGAGGAGAGAAACCTCCAGGCAGAGAGGATATTGAATTATCTGCGAGAAAACTTTTGTCTGAGTTAATTGAATTAAGTGAATCGTCCATTGCTCCTGCGCCCCCAAAGCTCCCAACGAAACATGCGCCGATCAAAGACCAATCTCCAGCAAGCATGGCCGATATATCATCTAAAGACGTTGATGGAAGGCCGGGTGACTGGACATGTCCAAAGTAAGTCATGTTTTTGCTCATAAAACCATCTTCTCAGTCAGTGTATTATAGTCACTCAATGTCTCATGAATAACTATCCCTATATGGTGTTTTCTAGGCTGCTGATTGTTGCTCTTTCGTTTTACTGCAGATGCAATTTTTTTAATTTTTCAAGAAATATACGCTGTCTCAAATGCAACACACAGGACTTGAAGAGGGTCAGTACAAATGCAGTTGAAAGGAAACATAATGCAGTTGAAAGGAAAAAGGGTGATTGGGATTGCCCAAAGTGAGTCTGCTATTTTTATTGACAAGTTTCATTGACAATATTATATTTTACTTTCTGTGATGATGTCTTTCACATACTTAATTGAAGTATTAATTATTAATGGAGGATGAAAAGAGATCATGAAAGATAATTTTAATTACTTATGAATTCATGTGGAAAATAGGATTTTAAATGAAAACAGATGTATTTTAATTAAGAATAAATAAAGATTATAATTTAATATTTTAATTACTTCTTTTTTTTCCCCCTTTTTGAATAGCACTAGCTATAAATTTTATCTCATTATCATCTAGGATTATACATTTCACTTGTTTTATTTAACATTTTAATTACTTTTGTTAGGATGATGATCTTTTGTTTTGATTATTGTGTCGCCTTTCAGTTTTAAATGTGATCTCTTGGCCTCTTTATAAAGTCCTTACTAATTAGCATCAGATTAGTTTGTGATTGAATTAATAATGTTTTATATTTCTATTGCCTCCTCTCGTTCCCCCCATCTTTTTCCCTGTTTTAATTCTTGTTATTGGTTCTACATCAATTTGGTTTGAGAGCAAGGTTCTCCTTGTTCCATGCACATTTTTTTGCTGGGAAATTATTGGAATCTTATTGAAAATTTCAAAACCATTTCTGTCCATACAAGTTCTAGTTCTTCTGTTCTCCTAACCTACCAAGTGACCTGACTATTAGATGCACATGGTCCAGATTGGCATGTCCTTGAAGTCCGACCACCAGTGCTGCTATCTATCCTTCTCCAGTTCTTTTTCATGTGTTTTTCCCTAAGGCCAATACATTGGATGTCTTGGATATATTTTGGATGTATTTCTACTATGTTTGGCTCTTTAATTGTTATGACTAGCCCAGATGATATTGAGGAACAGTTTAGGCTTGGTAGAATGGAATGCCAATATAACAATATTTTGAGTGCGACCAATCAACTGGGAAAACAAGTCATTAGCAAATGTTTGGAAGAGTTAAATGTAAAAGAAGACTGTTTTCAACAAGATTCTGATGCATTGGTTGAAATTATCCCAATAGAGCTCGATATTATCATTATTGAACCACTTGCTTGTCCATCAAAATGTAGATTTGCAATTGGATGAAAATTTAGATGATGAAGTTTCTGATGATTTTGCTCAGCAATTTGAAGTTAAATCTCCATAATGCCTGGTTTAGGTTCAACCAAATCAACTGCTAGGGTCTGAATGAGGGTATTTTCTTTTTCTTTTTAAGAAATTTTAGATATGTTAAGAGAGTCAAAGGTTATCTTAGTTCTCACATCTTAAAATAGTAGCCTTCATTTTAATCAAAGCGCTACTAGTCATCTAATTAAATCTTAAGGATAAGTTCTTTTCTCCCGAGTGAGAATGAGAATGATGGAGTAGAAAAAGGGATTAAGAAAGATAATATTAATTATTTATAAATTGCCTGACCATGTGAAACATCTACTATTTCGAGGTCCTGTGGGAGTTACGACCCCAAGCATGATTTGGTTTTCTTGATATTTTTCCTTTGTTTTGGGCTTAGCCCTGTATCATACAGGGAAAAAAAAGAATTAGTAATTAATAAATAAAGATGAATATAGTAAATAGGATTTCTTTTGGCCTGTTGTTTGGGTGTTCCATGGTCAACGTTCTCTTTATTCACTAAATACATGCCCTTGTAGTTGTAATAACTTTATTAGTTGTAAAGATGAGAAACTTGTCCTGACGCCCAATATTTTCCCATCTCTCCGTTTATGCTGTCATGTGACAGTTGGGATCCATTATCCATAAGTGGTTCCTTCTGGTGTGCTGACTGTTGCTCTTTGGTTTTGTTGCAGATGCAGTTTTGTTAATTTTTCACGAAATAAGCGCTGTCTTAAATGCAACACAGAGGGCCCAAAGAGGGTCAGTGCAGATGAAGTTGAAAAGAAAAAGGGCGACTGGGATTGCCCAAGGTGAGTCTCCTATTACTGACAAGTGAAATCTCATTGACAATATTTTATATTTCACTCTCGGTAAAATGACTTATTGATGGAGATCGAAAACAAACTAGAAAATATAATATTTAAGGATGATATACTTAGATTAAGTTCCTTACGTCTATTATGTTGAAATCTTCAATCACACACGACCATGTGTCTTATTTTAGGAATATTATCATTTAATAATATTTAATATAAATCCACATGAAACAAGAAAGGAGTCAAGGACACATGGCTATTTGTGATTGGAAAACTGAATATAATAAATATAAGGAACTTGAAGTGAGTTTTTTCCCCCTAATATTAATTATTTATAAGTTAGAAATAGAGATAGATATAAGAAAGAGGATTTTAATTAATTTATTTTATAAATTAAGACAAGATTTTGATATTCTAGCAACTTTTTCCCCCCCTTAATTGGCACTTTTTTTTTTGTTCTAAATAACACTAGATGTAGACTTGCGTATCTTTTATCAAGACCAATTGTCAGAATTATTGTTTTAGTCTTTATTTTTAAATGCGGCCTATGGGGCTCTACACAAATCCTTACTAATTTTTTTTTGAATTAATAAATTAATAAAGTCTCATATATCTTTGCATCTTCTCACATCTCTCCTCTCCTTTGTTCTTGACTCTAGTCCTTCATGATTTGAGCACGATTTGATAACTGTGAACGTATGTGTTTTGTCCCATAGCTGCCTGCGGCACTATTATTTGGAGGCATCACCTTAGTTTGAAAGTTAATTTCCCTCATACTTCAGTTTTCCTAGTTGTCTTCCAGCAAATTCATCCATAAATAATTATAGCAGGCACAATCATGCTTGACCTCATATTATTCAATTTCTATAATGTTATAATATGCTCTATTGAGGCTGCAATGCCATTTATTCTGTCCATTTTATAGTTGTCCTATGATGTGGAAGAGGTGAGATTGTGATGGTCAGGTCCTACGAGCGTATGATATTCTCAACTGAGTTTTGTTTATCTTTACTTAGTTTTCTTTTCTCTGATTCCATTTAGTTTATTTTTGAATGTGTCTCTGATCTTTATTTGCGACCAATGCTCTTCAGCAACCCTAGTGATGATTGATTTTTAGTCATTTAGGCACAACTATTAAGTCTTACGTATTACATGCTATTATACACTTTTAACACGTGCTATCACAATATCATCTGTTGTTCCTCTGCTGTATATGAATGAATGTCCTAGTATATAACTCTACGATGAATTTGTGTTCATCAACTTTAGTTTGTTCTGTCGATGAATACACTAATAATTAAATCTTGTTCTCATTTATTTTCCTGTGTCTAGTTGCGGGTTCTTGAACTTTGCTAGCAATACCAAGTGTCTGCGTTGTCCAGAGCCAAGGCCCCAGGGACGTATTGGGGATTGGAATTGTCCCAAGTGAGTGCAGTCTGTGGTCTTCTTACCTTTGTGTTTCTCTAGATCTCCACCTATATTTCCGCGTTATGCAATAATAGACGGTGATAATTGTTTGGTTCTTTTCATAAATTGCTTTTTGTAGATGTGATTTCTTCAACTTCGGAAAAAACAAGACTTGCCTGAAGTGCAATCATCAACGCCCTCTTGAACAACCGAGTGCTGAGGACGAGGACCATGAATGGAGACGGCCCACTTGAGAAGTCATGGAGTTGCCAATAGCCTTATGGCATAGCTATGTCACCTCCAGATGCCATTCGATCCTGCGTGCTGCAACTCGTACTGAACAAATGGAGGAAAAACAGCTTGTGGAGTTTTTTTATGCATGGTGGGGATCGGATATATTGGATTGTATCGTAAATTTTCGACAATTTTCTATGTTCGTCTTTTTATTTCCAGCGATAATTTTCTATGTTCTGCTTTGCTCATTCAATTTTTTTAATTTATTTTTGGGCATTTTGGCGCTGTAGTGACTACCCAGTTTAGTGCTTCGCAGATTGAGATACTGATGTAATATCAGTCGCTGGGGAATAGGATTAGATGGTTCTTTTATACATGTCATTAGCTACTTCAATTAAATAGTTGTGTGTAGTAGCAGCGCAAAAATAAGAGCCAAATGGTAATTGCAAGCAACGAGATAGCCTGGCGAGCTGAATGAGCAGCAAAAGAGAACTTTGAACCGTGCACCCCATTTTTTTCGTTTGCTGTTTAAAAACAGGACCAGTGTTACGTGTCATTGGCGATGCGCATCAGTCGTGTTAAATTTCTATGTAACTGCATCTCTATGATCTATGGTACATTTTAGCCTAGAAACTGGTTCCAAGAGAATGGAACAAAACTTGAGACCCTGTACAAGGCAATAGCACCAGCAAAAATAGCCTTGAAATGGCTAGCAGCAGCCTGTTAATTGGGAACAGGCATGGCGTGGTCGTGAGGGTGAGGTGGCTGAGCCATGTCTCCAGCTGCAACAGCAGCATGCCTCCTTTGCCTCTCACGGAGGTACAACACCGTTAGTAGACAAGCAAAGAGAGTAAGAATTGTAGCGTTGCCCTCCTCTAAAAGCACATTCTCCACCCATGCTTCCAATTTCGGGTAGACTTCAGGCAGTGAATCAATCACATCCACCTAATTGAACCAAAAAGCACCAGTGAGGATCTTAAGTGTGAATGGTTCTCGTCTGATTTCTGCGTGTGTTGTAGAACTTAAATTTCCACATTTTAAATAGAAAACAAAACTTGTAGATATCTGTTTTTCAAATAAAGGTGACTCTCAACATTTTTCAAGTAAAATGTGCGTAATATGCAAGGATGGATGATTTAATGAGTATAACAATTTGGTAGTTGAGAAGGCGAAGAAAGAAAACTCTGCATAAAAATCCGTCAAGCGCCCCCTATTAGCTCGTAAGCATGCAGTAAGCAAGATATTTTCTTTTTTAGTTAAAGAAAGAAAGAAAGAAAGAAAGAAAGAAGACCTACCAAGAAACCGTCAGCATAGTTCTTCCGAACCCACAAACTAGCAAGGGCGAGAGTGACGGGCAACTTTGCCGCGGGATCATGCTCTAGAGCTTCATCATAGTACCGCTTGGCCAGATGAAGATCAAATGGAAGTCCTAGGCCATGCTCATGCATATATCCCAGATTGAACATGGCTTGTGCATTAGATTGAGATTTGGCATGCATGTATGCCTCAGCAGCCCGTTCATAATCCCGGGCAGTACCCTGAGAGAAGGAAAAGGAGATGCAACAGATATATTAGAAAGACTAAAGAGAGTAAGCAGCATAAATTAACTGGTCAAAGCATGGATTCCTATTTCATCCCAAAATCACATACCCGACCATAGTAGTAAGCATCTCCAATTAGTAAAGCAGCATGTTCATTACCCTGCTCAGAGGCCTGCCACCACAGAGAATGTGCACGTTGATGCCTTTCTGCATCTGTACAAAATCCAGATTCACCCATGCACATGCTACTTTCCGCATATTTGTCAAGAATCCAAGCAGCATTACTCTGTGCGACCTCATAGCCCATCTCGGCCATTCTTGAATACAGCATAAATGCCTTGCCAATATCACCTTTCAAGTATGATTCAAGTGCCCACCTAGACAAAGAACTCCAGGGACCCCGTTCTGCAACTAGTTTGTACAGTGCAGTGGCCTAACACCCGAAAATCTCAAACTATTAACACTAGCAGGTATATTTATTAGCCGTGGTCATATATGATCATCATTAAGGAATAAACACAAGCAATTTGTTCTATTTTCTCCCAACATTTTACTCTGTTCTGCCTCAATTCTCTCTCTCTCTCTCTCGATTTCTCCTATTCCCCCACTTTCTTTCCCCCTTCCCCCTTGTCCTACATTAATATGACTGAAAGCAAGCACTAGAGCATTATAATCATAACTGACTAAACACCTATTCCCTGAAAAATAGGGTGCTATAATGATTTTTGGATCTTATGAAGTTATCCCCAACAATTCTAACTAGTTTTTAGTCATCTACTACATTGATGAGTACTCTTGATTTCAAGGAAGAGACGATTCAGTTTAACAAATGAACTGATCAAAGAATGGTGAAACAGTTAAAAATGAGAGTAAAGAAAGTATCGTCTAGGAAAACTACTCAGAATTTACATAAATACATGATAAATAAAGAATTTACCATGGGAATATTTTTCTTGAGCCCAACTCCAGTATGGAACATCTTCGCTAGCTGGTAAAATGCCTTTGGTTGACCGTTGTTAGCAGCCACTATAAAGTACTTACACGCCAATTTCACATCTCTTTTTACACCAATACCTTTGAGATACATGACACCCAGGTTATAGTGTCCACCAACCTCTTCATTATCAGCGGCCTTTTCAAAATACTCTTTTGCCTATTCACATGAGCGACAAAATATTGTCAAATTAACCACAACACACAAAGATGTGATAAAATGCTTAGAACACAACACCAATGATACAAGAACATGTCTCAGGGAAGATGTCATCCTATAGTTCTCCCCTTCACTAGACGCTGAATAAAAAACACTCTACGCATGCCATGTTTAGCCTCAATAGCCAATACTTATGCAAGAGAATTATATTAAATTCAATATTAGAATACCATAAATATTGCACTTTTAAATGAAACCAAACTTACCAAACAGAATGGACTTCCCATGGCTTGCAAGTTTCAAACCAAATAGAACAATCAATGGAGGGATCTCAACGTCAAATTTATATTGACAGCTTACAAGAATGTGGGTAGGAGAGAAAGAGAAAGAAGTGCTTCTCAATAAGAACGAAAAAGAATCAACAAATCTAATAGATAGGAAATGGAAAACGTGGGTACAAATCATGCAAACGTGGGTACAAATCATGCAATTTAAGCACAGCAAGACAAATAAATGTTAAGTCTACAGTTCAAGTATGCAAAGAGAGAAACTGTACGCTTACTTTTGTGTAATTCTTCTTATCCACCCCATATCCTTTTACGTACAAATACCCCATCCCATTATAAGCAGAATATAGTTGCTGTTTTGATGCAAGTGTAAGCCATTCCAGAGCTTTAGTGTAGTTCCTTTCAACACCTGCTCCCCTGGCATATATCTCTCCAAGAAGTTCCATTGACCTTGGTTCCCCCTTGTCCACAGCCTTCAAGAACCAAGATAAGGCCTTGGCATGATCACGCCTTAATCCTCGCAACCCAAAATAGTAAAACAGCCCAACTTTGTACATTGCTCCAGCATTTCCTTTCTGTGCTTGATATTCCAGTATCTGAAAGTCTTCATCCTCCTCACCTCTGGATTTTCTCAGAGCATCTTTATTCTCCTCAGCTCCATTATGGAGCCTAACTGGTTCAATGACCGGGGAATCTTTTGAAATTAAAAAGCTATTTACAGCAACTTCTGCCAATTCAGCATAAAGCTTTACTGCTTGCTCATACATCTGTGATTACAGAAAGCACAATAATTCATCAAATAAAACGAGCGTGACAAACAACACAGATCAAAGAGCTTCTCGTTATAGTTGTTGGTTATGATTGGCTGTAAAATCTTCAAGGGAAAGGAAAGGGAATGTGAGGAAAGATGACTTGTCTATCAGATTAAAAGATTAATAAAAAGGGGACAATGTTGAATGATAATAACCAAAATATAATAGACATTATTGTCTTGAAAAGAAATTGGTCTCAGTGCATCCCCTCTCCCTCGCCAATAATGGACCATGCTCACATGATCCATAGCCAACTGAAGAATCCTAGAAAGATGATTCCAGAACCATAATTCTACGACTGGAACACAATTTGTATCTTTCTTTCACTTTTTAGATTTCACTGCAACACTAACCAAAAGAGAACTGTTTTCAAACTAATCCACCATATTATAACCACCATTTACCAGTTTCCATTCTGCCAAAGGGAACAAGCCAAATGCCAGAACTGCTTCGGACAAGAAAATAGAGTTTACAGATTTTTCGCTAATAAGATCTGAGAACTTCAGCCTAGATAATGCCAATACGATCAAGTTAATTCTCTCATCTACCAAAAACAGAATGACGTGCACTGACGAATCTACAGGTTGTCAACAAATAGGAATTCACGATTAAAAAGAATAAACAAACGCAGCGCAAGAGCAAGTGATTCCTCACATCTTGACGCCTGTAAATATAAGCCAGGGCCATCTTAGACTGCATATTACCACCCTCCGCAGCAAAGTGATGATAGAGAAACGCCTTTGCTTTGTTCTTCTCTCTCATAAGGCCCATCCCGTACAAAAAACCGAGCACAGACTGCGCCGCTGGGTTCCCCAATTTTTCAGCCGCCTCGATCTCCCCAAAGGAATCCTCCATTAAACTCACATCACCCGAGCTAACCGCCGACATCATTTTGCGAAGGCCGGAGTAGTACAGCGCCTCACTCTCGATGCCTGATTCAGCAATAGTCGCCGTATCCGACTCGAAGATGGGGCGCCATGATCCCGGGTCGAGCTCCTCCTCGGACTTGTGGGAGTCGGAGTCACCAAACTCGTCCCACTCCGACACCGTGTCGGGATCGGTGGGCGGTTCGTCAGCGGAGGCGGGACCGTCCCTGAGGTCATCCTGAGAGAGGACAAGAACAAAGCGGCGGGCGGTGAGAGAAAGAGGGTAGAGCGAGAAAATGAGGACACAGAGGAAGAACTTGCAGCTGAGAGACCGTCGACGCATCGTCGGTATGAGAATTCAGGTGAGATCGGTGCCGAATACAGATTTTGCTTCGGAGAATCTATTGCTAATTTGCTATGACTGCACTGTAAGAAGTTCTGGAGATGTTAACTGTTATGGCCATGCCACGTATTCCACGTTCACCTGGCCAATAGTAATTAGCCAGGTCAGCATTTTGTGCCCCATTTTAACAATGTTAGACAAAAATTAATACATGAAAAATTAGCGCACTTACGTGGTTATATAATTGGGGTTTTTTTTGTTATTAATGCTTTTTTTTTACTAAATTTCAAATCTACTTAAAAATAAATAGTTTCAGCACAT